TTCGGCCCAGCTTTCACCAGCTACAAGTAGATTAGTCTGACACGAAAACCCCTTGCGGAATCCATGTTGCGCAACACTGATAGGGTTAAATCTATTCAGGTGGTTCTCCAGTGAACCACTTGACAGCTTTTAAGACAACACGACTACTACGCTTGTCAAACTGACAGGCCGGTAGTTCGCGGGCAGAGCGCTGTCACCGCCTTTAAAAACCGGACAGATAATTGCCTTCTTCCATTCCGAAGGTAGAACGTAGCTGTCAAGCGATAATGAAAACACGCATGTGAGAGGACAAGTCAGCTTAGTGGCCAATTCATGCGACAGCTTCGGATGAATTGAAGCAGGACCGAGAGCCTTAGAGGGATTAGTGCCTTGCAGTAGCTCGAAGACCTGAGTCTCCGTTAGGTTAAACTCAGCTAAGCAAGAATCATCTGGAACTCTTGTAACCACTTCAAGCTGTGGTAAAGAGGTCTCCCGAGCGAAGACCCCAGTAGACTGATCACTAAGTATAGAAGCCTTGTCATAGTTTGCGCACGGGTCCCGTCTGCTCGCAATAACGCTGGTATAGACAGTTTTGTTCCGCTGCGTCTTTTAACGCAAGCAAAAGCTTCTTGGGATTAGATGCGGCCGAGTCCGCTAAACCCTGTCCATACTGAAGACGAACAGTCCTGAGATGTTGCCTAGAGATATTTCTAATATTTCGATAACTATAATAGGTACTGGCTGGTGGAGCTACTTGGTAGGTTCGCCAGCATTTAGACTGTTTCTTGTGTAGGTACTTGCCTGTAGTATCTATCCATGGAGGCTGCGCTCATAACCCTCTTTTCTTCATGAGTGGAATATAGGGAATGGAAAACTCCGAAAGGTATGGCTTAAGTTTATCCCAGGCTAACTGGACAGAGTCAGCAATCGAGATCTCACAGTTCAGAACTGAAGCCTTAGCTCGCATTGCACTAAAGTCCGCCCACCAAATAGTCGGAAGTAATTCAACGGCGGCCTGTCTTTGCCTAAAAAGTGCACACCGAAAGGATTTGCATGCGCGATCGCTGGACCCTAGAGGTACACCATACGAAACGACAGTCACAAAGTCGATGGTAGTTGGTTGCCCATATATAGGTAAGTCCACGAACTGGTGAAAAAGCACTTAGAGTCTGCTCCAGAAAATCTGCACCGAATGTCCTTGACGCCGAATTGCAAGAAAGATCGGCACAACAGACTTCCGGGAGGTTGAAATCCCCCAGAACTAAACACTTATTTACGGAATGAATGTGAATAAAGTCAATTATCCCCCAGGAAAAATTTCTAGGACTCCTGTATATCACCACAACAGTAAACTGGGTAGAGGAAGTCACAAAAGAGCCGATAAGGCTTCAACAGTTGGATCCCACAACTGGAATGTGCAGGTTCTCAACACATTTAAGTTACAGCTCACATACAGTACAATGCCTCCGCCTTGACGATCAACGGAGCGATCAGTTCTAAGCACTGCGTAGCCAGCTAAACATACCCCACCGTCTGTTATATCAGGAAATAATCACGTTTCAGTGAAAGCAAGTATGTCGGGACGAGATTTGTCTAGAAGTAGGCCCAACTCGTGCACCTAGTTCCTTAGGCTAGGCACGTGGCTAACTACAAACTCAAGAAAGTCGGCACGACCATCCCTGGGTCGTGCGCCATCAGGATTGGTTCTGATAGGGCGGTAAATAACTTCCGGCTGACAACCTGAAAACCCACCAAACGTAAGCCTTGCTCACCAGCCGCCTGTCTATTTTTGAAGTTTTTGATAGCCTCTTTCGAGTTAAAACACAGTGTTGCAAAGAGATCTCTTTTCGGCAGATCACATCAGGCAAATACAACTACAGGACTGTAAAATGCATTAGTAAACTGGTGCAAGTAACAAAGAGGACGGATGGGACGATTTGAACAGTTTTAGTATGTTCATTTGATGCTCGAATCGATTTAATCAGGTGACATCGTGATCGGGCTAACCGACAGCTAAATAACTTGTGTAAACAGAAAGGGCAAAATTACTAACCAAATAAAATTAGTTAATTACGCAAATAAATAGCACCCGGTTAAGCGAGATACTCCGGGGAACCTTATCATCAGGGCCATGGCAAAGTCAAGGGTTGCACGAGCACCCTATGCTTGCATAGCTCTGGTTGTGTTAGCCTGATCGCGATGGCTTCAGCTGTCTGCAGGAGGCATTTCCTTAGCCCTTTCGGGTATCGCCTCGGTACGGCATAATAGACTTTGAAAGCATCTTGTCAGAATCTGATGCCCACTAAGAATCAGATGCTCCGAATCGTACATTGTTTACCAGTTTACTTGCACCTGTGGTGCAAAGTACCTCGGGCATACGACCAGGCGTCTGTCGGTACGAATAGCTGAACATTGTCCAGGGTCATTGCGGAGAGGCATGCACAGAAGTATCAACAGCTCAATTATGGAGCATCTGATTCTTAGTGGGCATCAGATTCTGACAAAAGATGCTTTCAAAGTCTATTATGCCGTACCGAGGCGATACCCGAAAGGGCTAAGGAAACGCCTCCTGCAGACAGCTGAAGCCATCGCGATCAGGCTAACACAACCAGAGCTATGCAAGCATAGGGTGCTCGTGCAACCCTTGACTTTGCCATGGCCCTGATGATAAGGTTCCCCGGAGTATCTCGCTTAACCGGGTGCTATTTATTTGCGTAATTAACTAATTTTATTTGGTTAGTAATTTTGCCCTTTCTGTTTACACAAGTTATTTAGCTGTCGGTTAGCCCGATCACGATGTCACCTGATTAAATCGATTCGAGCATCAAATGAACATACTAAAACTGTTCAAATCGTCCCATCCGTCCTCTTTGTTACTTGCACCAGTTTACTAATGCATTTTACAGTCCTGTAGTTGTATTTGCCTGATGTGATCTGCCGAAAAGAGATCTCTTTGCAACACTGTGTTTTAATCTTTCGAGTTAAATCTATCTGCCAGGGGAAGGTCTTGCTGAACGCTGACACTACTACCTTTAATTTGACTGCAAACCGCAGTACTGATTTGCGTTCCTCCGTGGTAAAAAGGACCACGCGAAGTAGCCGGGGTCGCGGATTTGCCGAACCGATAGGGATGTTCCCCAATCTGGTCAGCTTTCTGACAGAGACACCAGAGAAGTCAGGTGGAAGCAGCTTGTTGATGAACAGTTTGAGCCACTTGATGTCATCCGAAATGCGTTTGCTTGGAAGATCAGCCGCAGATTCAGTAACGTTACTGAATATAACGCTGGAATGCAAGGAACTGGAAAAGATAAACTGCGAAGGAACTACTCTAGCGGTCAAGTTGTTTGTTTTAAATGACGATGCTTTCCTAGATTAATAGGAAGCATCAGTTGTTTCAGAAGTCACTCAACAGCTGTATCTTGCCTACCGAATGGAAGGAGGCTGTTGTCTGCCCGATTGTCAAGTGCGGTGACAAGGACCTACCGGTTAATTAAAGGCCGGTCAGCTTGACTAACGTGGTCGTTAACGTACTTGAAAAATTAGTACGAGATATAGTGGAGAACCATTTAAATATGTTTAATCTGCTTAGCGTCGAGCAACATGGTTTCGTGTCAGACGAACTTGCTGGTAGCTCGTGAGTGCTTGGCTGAAGCCGTAGACAGTGGACATGCAGTGGATGTGGTATTCATTGACTTTGCCAAGGCCTTTGACACTGTCCCCCATTCGCGACTCTCACTGAAGTTGAGGTCGTATGGAATATCTGGTCGCGCTCTCCAGTGGGTGTGAGCTTTTCTGGCTGGACGGGAACAGTGTATTCGTGTTGGAAGCAGTCTTTCGTTTCGACAAGCTGTACTTAGCGGCGTTCCGCAAGGCTCTGTCCTAGGTCCGCTGCTTTTCTCAGTCTAGGTGAATGACTTGCCAGAGTAGCTTGAGGTACCATCGCTCTCATTCGCTGATGACCTAAAGCTCTGGAATATTGTTGATATCCCTGGAGGTCCTGTGGCTCTTCAACGGGCTCTGGATAGACCCTTGGAATGGTCTGTCTTGTGGTTGCTGCCCATAAACCGGGCAGTGTTCAGTGCTGCGTATCGGAGCGTCTGCTTCCTTCACAAGTTATGTGCTCGATGGGAGTGAACTTCCTCACGTGACTCATCAGGTTGATCTATGTGTCGTCCACTGTTCCGCACTACACTCTGGAGACAACTGGAAGAAGCGGCTAGTAAAGGGTTCCGGATGTTGTGGTTTACCCGTCGTTCTTTCAGGACCCTAACCGCTGATGGTTTGTAAAGCTCTTCTCGACGTTTGTGCGACCCCAACTAGAATATTGCGTCCAGGCCTGTGCACCATGCCTTGTCCGGGACAAAATGGCACTAGAAAGGGTGTTGCGTATCGGTACTAGGTTGGTCAAGGGGTTACGAGGACAAACGTACCCCGAACGCCTACTTAGTTTGAGGATGCAGTCAAAGGATTACAGCGGACCTAATCCTAGCCTACCGTATTTTGACTGGGAAGCTAGGCCCTGATTTGTCCTGGCTATTTAGTCCTGCTAGATTGTCTGGTCTCCGCGGGCATTGTATGAAACTGGACAAACCGCGGTCCGATCGAGTTAGAGCGGAGACACGGTTATCGCGTCGAGTCATCGAGCGCTGGAACCTGCTTCCAGAAAGGGTTGTCAAGGAAGCTAGGGTTAAGGGGTTTGAGTGTCAACTAAACGTTCTTGGGTGGCAACAGGAAACGTTTCCTTCTTCCTGACTAATTCCCATCTTCACACTTCGATTCTATTTTCTTACTTTTCCTCGCCATTGGCATTATTCTCTTCTTTTAACTGATTTCCCTTACCCTCTTACCTTCGATTTTTCTTCCTCTCTTACTTCACGTAACTGACATAGCTGGGACAGCTAATGTAAGGAACGTGGGCATTAAATTGGTGGACCAGGGTATTTTCCTTTTAGACCCTTCAAGAAGTAGAAGTACCCCTATCAACTCCTGGATCGACGACCCGCTAAAGTAGGAACACTTACGGGATTCATCCTATCGTTCCAGTCCCACTAGAACTTGAACTTGAGCCCTACAAACAGAGGGTAGGGTGTAGTACGGAACATACAACGCATGGAACAAAAGCCGCCAGAAATTGGGTTGTGAGGGCTGGTACGGCTGCAGTTTTTGAGCCGTAATGAAAAGTAGAATGAATGCAAAGCGATAAAAGCTTGCAGGTAAACATGCAGATATATACGGTCTTATATTTTATATTTAATATTAATATATTAATATATTTAGTCAATGCCCTGCTTCCACATTTTAACTACAATTATTTAACCACGTTTAACTCGATTTTCAGTTATCTAGAAAACAAAGGAATTAATTTTCTGCTGCAACACTGTTTTAATACACAAAAGACGAAAAACTTTCCCGCCAATATATGCGGTCGATGCGCTTAGTGTAATTTGCGTCCGGTTGAGTGCTCCGAGGGGGAGCGTCAGGCGCGCCTCCGGCGGGATTTTAAATGTGGCCTATTGTCCTTGGTAGTGGAAAATACTTCGACCGTCTGTATTAACCGAGTTAGGAAAAAACTAACGATCTTCGTGCTGAAATCGTGTGATGCAACATCGTTGAGCTATAACCAGCTAAAGTCAGAAGTCTGCCTGTTGCAACCTTTACTTTGACGTTGCTTTGACGAGTGGTTTTTCAGCTACCATATAAGCAGCAGGCCTAAAACAGACATAGCCTAGTGATAAGGGTGGCGCTTTGCGAGCCGTGCAGCCGGGGTTCGAATCCTACGTGCTCCGCCTTTAGTACTCGCTCCGGCAGCACCTATACTAAACATGGAACTAGACAAAGGCGCTTGCGATGTCAAATGAGCAAGAATGACATTTAAAATTCAAAACGTAAAAATGGCTATACGCTTGTCCGTCTACAGGTAGGCCACCGCATTTCTACGCCATTCTTGCATTGGCTTTCATGTCAGGGTAGAACAACAAAGGCACACCTTCTCCAAAGTTCTTGCAAGATTTAGCTGCGTGTAAGCATTTCTTCATCTCGTTCATCTCATTCATAGAGTTGTAGAGAGCGGAAGGGAAGATCCGTGTCAGCTCCATCACCCGTTCGTTGGCTGGATGACCTGTCGATGCTTAACTGTGTTTCCCGAGGGATTGTTGCAGCTGCAGCAAAAACAGCGGAATCCAGGCATGCTCAGCATGTACTTGTCCAATCGTTCTTTCAAACATCTTCAGTCTGGGCACTTACCACATATTCAGGAAGATTGTTCCACTCATCCACAATCCATGTGGAGAAGGCGATATCGGACCGGATATGGTTCCGCCGAGGGTTAAAAGTTTCAAGCTGTGACCCGTGTTGAACAATCTGTGTTGAGCTGGAAGAACTGCAGCACCTCCTTCCTCAAATCGCCCCTTAAAATGCGCCTAGTGTAAATCAGATCACCACGGCCACGGCGGTAGTCCAGAGTAACTAAGTTCATACATTGGGGACGAAGGGGATAAGGCAAAACACGTAGCAGAGACACAGACTTGGATCCGCGCGTCTGAAACTTCTCAATCAACTCACATTCAAATTTCGTGAGTGGGTGTATGGCAGGTAGGCAGTATTCCAGTATTGGACGAACGTGGGAGGGAAACATTGGCCTGAAGTTCGGCGGAGTCAATTTATAGAGCAACCTTCGTATGGCACGGAGCATCCAGGTGGCAGATGCTACCTTCCGCAACGTGTCCTGGGTTGTTCTTAGGTCTGGAGAAATATGTACACCCAAATCCTTCTCACCAACCACATCCTTCAACAGAAAACCACCGATGGGGTAAGCACCGAAAGGGTCCAGATCATCGAGCTGGAGAACACAGCATTTGTCACAATTTGTAGGCATTTGCCACTTGACCGAACAATCGTGCAGCAGATCGAGCGTCAGCTGCAACCTGTCAGCATCGTCAAGCTTGGATACTTCCGACCAAAATTAAAGATCCTCGGCATAGATCAAGCAGTCGATTTGGACCACCTCCGGGAGATCGTTGGTAAAGATTTTGCATAGTTCGGGACCAAGTACGGAGCCTTGTGAGACCCCACTGGCCAACAGAACAAGACTAGAGTCAACTTCGTTAACCCTCGCCTTCATACTACGGTCAGCTAGGAAGTCCGCGATCCAGGAAAACCATTTACCAGTGATGCCAATCTGCCGAAGTTTGATAAGAAGTCGCTTGTGTGGAACCCTATCAAACGCCTTGCTAAAATCCACAAAGACTACATCAAGGCGATGACCAGCATCCACTGACTGCGCCCAGTTTTCTCGGGCAACAAGCAGCTTGGTTATGCAAGAGGGTGCCCTCCGAAATCCGTGCTGTGCAGGAGAGGTGACGACCAATTTCTCAAGTTGAAGATCCAAGGCCTGTTTCAAAATCCTTCCAATGGTTTTACAGAGGATTGGTGACAGGCAAATCGGTCGGTGGTTCACTGGATCTTGGCGCTTCCCACCTTTGTACATGGGTTTCCCAGCATTTGCTTTCCAGTTATTCGGGAGACGACCTGCTTCAAGTGCGCTACGAAATACTTGACAAATTGGGGCAGCAATGAACACTGCCACGGCTTGGAGGAACAAGTTGTAAACCATGGGGACCCGGTGAAGAATTCGAGTTCAAGTCAAGAAGCAGTTCCAATATTCTGAATACTGAATACTGAATACTGTATTATAGAGCAATTAGAAATGGATTCTGTACAACTCTTTCGAAATATAGTGAAAACGTTATAAAAATTGTCAACCGTGAATATCATTGTCCTTCTCATGTAATATTTAAAGTATTCGACTTACGATATTTCAGGATTCACAAATGTGATATGTCATCGTAAGCGTGCAGTCGTTCACTGAATTGAATAGTGGCAAAATACAAATTTAACAACGTTTTGAACTGTTGCACAGATGATGTCTCAATCACATGTTCACGCAAACTGTTCCAAATGTTTACCACTCTCCGTTCGAAGCACACTGAGTGAGGAACACATTTCACATCTGGCACTAGAAGTTTTTATCTGCGTCCGCGTGTGCTGCATGGCCCTCGTATGTGCAGCATTAGCCATAACATGGGGAAGTCACCGAGATGTAGAATACGGTAGGTCATAATGAGGTAGACTCGCACCTGACGGTAGGACAAGGTGCAGAGTCCTAGTTTCTCGCACCGGTCTTCATACCAAAAGCCCCGTAAACACGGGATGAGCCTGGTAGCAACGTGTTGGACCCGTTTGATTTTTTGTGCCTCGCCTCGGGTAATCGGAAAGTAGGCGGGCGAACCGTACTCTAGCCTTGGTCTAATGATGAAAGAGAAGAGGCGAGTGGCAACCTATTCAGATCACGTGCCGAAGCTACGTTTGAGCGCCCAAAGCATGCTCAGTCCGTTACGATATAGCCTGTTCATTTTGTCCACGGACTTTGTCGTAGCGTAGCGCTGTAATTTCAACATGCTCTAATGGAGATGGGTGACAGGGAGTGTCCTAAATAACTAATGGCGTCTCTGTTGTATCCAAAAAGGAATATTGCGGAGCTAGTAAACAAGCTTTCGCCATGTCGTCATGAAGCATGGTGTCCTCTTTGCTTGAGTACAGTGCGAGTATACCGTTGCCAGCTTTGGTGCTTCTTTTTATGTAGGAGAAAAGCTTTTTCGGATTAACCACAGATTGCTCGGCCAGATGCTACTCATATAATTCCCTTCTTGAGCTTTGTCAGGGTTCATAAATTTCTATCCTATTTGTAATGCGGGTAATTTTGCGCCGTCTGAGTGAACTTGAACTGCCCCAAAGATTCCGCCTTCTCATCATGAGCGATTTGATTTCCCGATCTATCCATGGGGGCCCTTTGGAGAAAAATGGTTTTGTGACCCTTGGAATAACCTGATCAATGATAACCATCAGCTTGGAGCACATAAGGTCCCAAGCAGCATCGAGATCCAACTGATGAGGTATGTTTCAGTCCATGAGGCTGGCAGCCAATTTTAAGCGGTGGGGGTCAGCGCGCCGGAATTTTCGGCGGTCCGCTCCTTGAACATTGATAGCTAACGGTCGTGTCCACAAAAAGGAGACTACACGGTGATCACTTTTGCCAAGAGGCTGAAGGGTGGCTGTAGCGGAAACATTGCTTAGTGCCATGCCCTTCGCTATCATCATCTGATCAGTGAAATTCTCTGGGACTACTACAAGGCCTCGGGATGTGTCGACTAATCAAGTCTCGTCTGTTCGGTGTCCGGCTCTCAGAGTTCTCTCAAACTATCGGGATATCACCGGTGACTTTTCAGAACTGAATGATTCATACTTCGCACGAGAGCGTCCTTGGATTCAACACACTTTAGCAGTAAACCTTTTTTATCCTGACTATCGTCTCTTCGTACTTACTCTCACGAGTTACTCTTCGCACTGCCGTCCGCATTCATCCGCTCATAGCGGATTCCTTAAATTTCCTTTGCTTCTTGGAACCTCGCTTTGCCTAGGTGGCTCCCGCATTCGGCCTCAACCTAGTTGTCCCTAGTTTCACCTAAGATGCTACTTGCATTCGGACCGCTGTCATCATTATCGGTTTACCTGTTTCTCTCCAACAACCCTATTAATCGCTTAAATTTGTCAACACGCTTTGTTATATCGGTCTCTTGACCCTGCGCGTGCAGAACCTTTTTCCTACTTAGTGATTGTAGTCTAAGTCACACCAGCGATGTGATGTAAAGAACGCGCTTGCATATCATATATACTAAACAAAATTACATAAGTTTTAATGTATCATAGGCACAGTTGCGCACCACCAGTCTGTGTTTGTTCTTCTTGATTCATTACTGTCTTTCTGTTTGGCTGACTCTTGTCTGTTGCCCGTTTTCTCCCGAGATTTCCACAGATACATCTGCCAAAACAAGAAGGTTTATCCACTGGGACTAGTCGACCCACCCTCAATAGCCAGCTGGTTTACACGCTTGATCTTTTCTCCTGGAGATGAAGAGCTCACACACTGTTCCAAATGGAGCTCTTTCCGCCATTCTGGAGAAGCTACCACCACTGGGTCTAAACAAATGGGTTTAGCTCGCCTCGTACTCACAGTAGAACAATTTACTCAACTGGAATAATATACTTACATGGATCCCCTGTTCCACAACCGAAGACAGACAATTCTGGCGTCAT